GGAATTTTTCTGGGTCATGCAAGCTGCCCTTTGTTTTGATATTTTTCAACCATTTAAGAATACAAAAAACACCTTTCCTTAGCTTCTGGATTCCCAAACAGGTGCAGCATTTTATTTGGTTTTTTGTTGGTTGGTTGGGAGATGAAGCTTGGAGAGAAAAACCAGACAATCAAACCATATTTCAAATTAAAAAATTAGAACCTGGAACGGCTTTTTTAAAGCTCATTTAGCTTCGGTGGATATGTAACGAGTACGTTAAAGCCTGAACGTACCGCCGGGGTGTTGCTATTATACGCCACACACCCTGCTGCACCTGCAGATCTGTCACCAAACCTGTGCCACCACCCAGGCTATTCCTATGTGCATTTTGCTTTCCATCCTTATGGTTATTCTTTCCATAACTTTGGGAAGCCTGCTCCTCCCCTCCCTTCCTCATTTGCCCATTTCCCCCCCCCCCCCACTGCTTCCTCCCCTCTGGCATTCAAAACCTGTTTTAGTCAGTAGTTTCAGCCTTGTTTCCTGACAGACCTTCAGTCCAAGAATTAAACAAGTGAAAAGCTCAGCAATTGGAGGGATAAGAATGACCAGTACATCCACTTGTTTTTCTTGAGGTGAGGCAGGAGTTTCCGGAGTCATTTCTATTCACTGGCCTGGTCACCTCTCATGACCGTGGGCCACAAGTGCAAAACATCTGGCAGGAAATGGGGTCACGGTCCGTAGCGTTGGAACGAACTTGCATCTGTCCAGGGTAAACTGGACCGTGGAGAGAATCCAGCTCGCATAACTGGCCTCTTGGGACTCGGCTGTAGCCAATGAGTGACTGGCCAAATGACCTCAATTGAATTTTATCTCCTTCTTTTCCTCCTACCCACCCCCCTAATAGAGATGTTCATGAAAAAAAACAAAAGGGCAAGAACAAATCATCAAAGGAAAAAAGACAAAGCAGAGATGGTTATTAAGTATGTACTGACGTATAAAATCTGTAAGAGAGAATCTAGAAAACACTTTCTGATTTAACTGCCTCAGTTTAATCTTGCGTTTAAAGCCAGGATGGCACCAGCCGGCCACAGATGGCAGGAACTGATAAGCAAGTAATTGTCTTTTCCAAAATGTCCTGTACCTCCGTTCTGTTGGAATCGATGTTATAAATGTGCATGGGGCTGGAATAAATAGACTGCAGTTTGGGTTGAGAAAGTAATCTGGAGAGATTCCATAAAATGGAGATGTAGGAGGACTCAAAGAATATTAATTGATGCAGGAAGTTCTTAAAAGACGGACACTGGTAGATTGTGAAAAAGGACAGGTGGAGGCTTTAACATTAGAGATGGCCGGAGATCTCCGATGACAATCTTTTACAGAGTTAACAGGTCCTTTGCCCAGCCCTCAGCTGAAATATGTGCAGTATATGATTTTTAAAACTCAGAAACTAAAAACCACATAGGCAGAAAGCCAATAAATCCCCAGGACACTAACACCGAGTCCCTTGCCTGCAGCCGAGATGAGAATGACGTTACACATTGACACAGATATCAAAGGGGAGAGCAACTCATATCCTATATCCCTACGGCTTGGATGTCAGCCTCCTAAAGGGGCCAGTATCAGGTATACTGTTTGGGCCTAGAAAATAGATTTAGAGGAGTGCCTGAGTGGCTCAGTTGGTTAAGTGTCCGACTTGAGCTCAGGTCAGGATCTCATGGTTTGTGGGTTCGAGCCCCACATTGGGCTCTGTGCTCTGCTCCAGGCTCCAGCTTGGAGCATGGAGCCTGCTTCGGATTCTGTGTCTCCTTCTCTCTCTGTCTCTCTCTCTCTCTCTCTCTCTCTCTCTCTCGCTCTCACTCAAAAATAAACTTAATATATTTAGAAATCTAAAAATATTTGTGGTTATTGAAATGACACCTAACTGGCTTATGCGGGTAGTGAGATGTTTCAGACTTATTTAAATAAGTAATTATTCATGCTTAGTATGTGCTCAGCCCTTTGCTTCTGGTTCTGGGGTGTATTAAGTTTGACACAGCCCCAGGATCTCAATAGAGGTGCAGAAACACCAGAAGCCCTCCGAATTGACCTACACTTACCTAGAATGAACCGGACTAAGCAATGTGCTCATTTCACAGAAACATGTGGCGTGAGGTTCTTGGACACCCAGGGTGATCAGCAACCCTGGTCTGCCAGCCCATCGCTACTCCTTCAGGCCAAATTCAAGTGCACTTCAAGGCAGCTGTGCTTGTTCTCAGATCTGTTAGGCCAGTTGCAGTAATAATTGCAATTATGTGGTTCAGTGAAACCACATGTAAATTAATGAAGTAAGCATTAAAAAAGTTGGTATTTCTAGAACCACGAAGTCAAATGCTTTGTAAAAGTGAATTGCTAACGTATGGGGAAAATGACCGAAAAAGATTGGGGGAAACAAATCATCTAGAAGGATTTCAGTGGTTATAGTCCTTATGGTTCTGCTTTAGAAAGACAGTGCTTCAATCTAATCAGCGAACTAACTTTCACTGTATTTCTAAATATTGGCCAATGTATTCACGTTTACACTTTAATTTAAAATGTGGAGGGGCACCTGGGTGGCTCAGTCGGTTAAGCGTCTGACTCTAGATTTCGGCTCAGGTCGTGGTCTCATGGTTCATGGGATCGAGCCCTGCATCGTGGGATCAAGCGCCGTGTCAGGCTGTACACTGACAGTGTAGAACCTCCTTGGGCTTCTCTCTCTCTCCCTGCTCCTCCCCTGCACACACTTTCTCTCTCTCTCTCTCTCAAAATAAATAAGCATTTTAAAAATTTAATTTAAAATGTTGGAGGCAGTTGATTGTCTTTTTCAGTTAATGGCCCTGATTGCATCAGATAAGAGAGCTTTGTACCTATAAAATCGATGATATCAGACTCTACTGGAAGTGCCAGAATGTCTGAAATGGCTAGCCCTGTGGCAGCAGTTCTTATAAAGAGAAGAGAAAGGCAATCTGGCATATGGGGGAGAGTTGCCCCGCGATCAATCACACACTGAAGCTGCAGCACTAACTTCAAAATATGTTTTAAAGTATTTTGCCCTTTGAGGACTGTTTAGGCAAACAAAAATATTTGCAATTCAATTGTTTTCAGTTAAATCTTCCTTAACTGCGCTATTAGATTTAACATTCTTGGCGAAGCTTCTCAATGGAAACTATTTATTATCTGATTTGGCTCCGTTTATAATTGAAAGTAGGCAGAAACAATAAAGTTTCTTTTCTTTGAGACTTATTTTAGGTTCAGGAGATAACCAGGTGGGTGAAATGACATAGAAATGATATGAATATAGAAGCAGTCTTTGTTTTCGGGGATCCTGTTTTAAACATTTCGTAAAATAGGGGCACCTGGGTGGCTCAGTCGGTGAAACATCCAGCTCTTGATTTTGGCTCAGGTCATGATCTCGTGATTCAGTTCCTGAGATCAAGCTCTGAGCCGGCCTGGGATTCTCTCTTTCTGCCCCTCCCGTGCTCATGTGCACATGCTTATGTTTCTCTCTCTCTCTCTCTCTCTCTCTCTCTCTCTCTCAAAAACAAACATTAAAAACACCATTTCATAAAATAATACAGAAGCAAGTTACACTTACAATGACAGACCTGGAAACCTGACCCTAGTGTCTATAAAAACTGTCTGCCTAGGCTGAGACATATCAATCATATGGCCTCTTCAGAATCAGCCTTGTGGTTCCTCTCCTAGAACAGCAAAGAGTGTGGGCAGAAATCGGGCTCCGCGTAAAGTTAGGATTGACGCTGTTAGAAAAACATGAACCCCTGATATCTAAATCCAGATTTGCTCCCAGACTGGTGAACACGACAGTCAAGCAAGCTCTCCTGCTTGGAGGTACAGAGGATCTCAATTCAGCCTTATTTGAGAACTGCCTTTTGCCAGCTCCCTCTGTAAAGGCAGTGAAGGGGCTTTATAAGTTGTTTTGGCTTATGTATGATGGAACATCTGCATGACAAAATGAGGGGCCAGGAGTAGACCGTGTGGATAATGTACATGGGTGTTGTGTATGAATGAGTCGAAGATAAAAGACACGATCCGTTGCTCCCAGGGAATCTCCATAAAGCACACTTAATAAAATGCTTCTCCATATCACAGTTAAAGATATTACTGAGATCTAAATGAGATTATTCTTAGACTGCCAGACCTCTGTTTCATTGCCAGACCCGTGCATGAGTAGAAAGTCAGTGGAGTTCTATTGTTTACTTCTGTTGACCTGAATTTTCAGTACAGAAGGAACCTTTAGGGGTGCACTGGGGCCGGCTGTTGCCGGCTCGCGGGAGCCGATTGCGCACCTCTTCCCTGGCCTCAAGTCGGTAGCTTGAAATTGGCCGCAGTGGGAGCATTTCCACCACGGAAATGAGCACACACCGAAAATTGGCCTCATTCTCCCACTTCTCTCCCAAAACCACTTTTAAACGTTGACCAGCATGCCACCGCTTCGGGGACGGAGGTCCTTCATCTTTTTCGTGCCATGAACCCTTTGTCATATGCCAAGTCCCCACCTCTGAACAGTGTTGTTGTTTTTTAATTCAGTGAAGTCATTAAAATGTTAAAAGGATGGGGCGCCTGGGTGGCGCAGTCGGTTGAGCGTCCGACTTCAGCCAGGTCACGATCTCGCGGTCCGGGAGTTCGAGCCCCGCGTCAGGCTCTGGGCTGATGGCTCAGAGCCTGGAGCCTGTTTCCGATTCTGTGTCTCCCTCTCTCTCTGCCCCTCCCCCGTTCATGCTCTGTCTCTCTCTGTCCCAAAAATAAAAATAAACGTTGAAAAAAATAAAAAAAAAATAAATAAAATGTTAAAAGGAGAAGTTTATGGTGCAGTTATACGTGTGTTTCCCTAATGACATTTGAAACCATACCATCCCAAGATTCCTAAGTCTCTTATTTCTGAGGTTGAAACAAAAATTATGGCGCTATCTAGTTAACCAAATTTGTAACCATATGATAAACGTCCTATAAAGAACATTCAGTTTTGTGGCTCATCTCTTTTGTAGGGCCTGATGATGCACAACAAAAAATAGAACCTCATCACACGGCAGTGCTGGGGGAGGGTGACAGTGTCCAGGTGCAGAACAGGGTAAGTATTAAAAATCTTTTGTTTTCTTAAATTGCACTTTCTACCAGTTTACAGGTAAATGCCTACTACCTCTTCTGTGTGGCTGGAAAATGTTCTGTCTTCCTTAGGCAAAGAAACTATGCCACAAATTTGTCAACACCTTTCATTAACATCTATTATTTCTATTGGTTTATTTTAAGGTTTTATCAATGCCGATCCCTCATCATCAGGAATCGCCTGAAGTCTCTCTTGTTTACCCCTAGAAATTTGAATCTGGAGGCAACATGTGCTTCTTTGTCTCTTAATTTTCTTTCTTTATACAATTGATTTATTTGTGCCGTCAGTGAAAATGGACCAGCCATCTAGGAGTATAAATACAGATCTCCATGCTCACAATGAGCCCTTTGCAAGTCGAACTGAGAGGAGCATATGATGCGTTTCATAGTCCTTTGGTGTTGAACCCCTGCTTCTTAGGTAGAGTTTCCGATATTTCTATTTCATTCCCTTAAGTGATTATCTCACTCTCTTGTGAGCCTACTAAGCCAGTCTGATGGTTTTGTGTCATTCTAATCAAGAGGATTGAAGAGACGGTTGTGCAAAAGCTCCTGACAAGATGAATTTTGAAAAGTAGGGGTGGAAACGACTTCGGTGTGCAGGTGACTGGCAGAGAGGCGATCTGCCTGCCTCGGGCCGTTCTGATCCCGGTGTTGTGGAATGCAGTGGATTTGAAGAATTACGGCATCTTCGCCCGCTTTTGTGGCAGCTCACCTATGGAGTAAATAAAAGGGAAACCTCATGAGCACCAGAGAAAATGCGCATATCGGGGTCCATGCACCTCGATTATTAGGTTGAACTGTTTGAAACTGCCACTTTGGACCCACAGAAATGGTTTCGGGCCAGTGCAGGAAGGAGGCCCAGAAGCTGCACACAGACCAGAGCCAACTGGTCGTGGATTTGTTTGTCACATTATTGGGTTTAACTTGACACCTCGATTCTTCCTATAATCTAGCAGAGGGCACATTGCAGATGACAAGGATTTGGAAACTGGAATGAACCACCAGAAAGAGTTGCTGAGGGGAGCCAGAAAGGCGGCGGGCCGGGGGGGTGGGGGCGGGGGAAGAGGGGGCAGCCTGGGATAACAAAGAGTTGGCTAAAGCGTCAGTTCAGTGGCTCCAGGGACACCACTCTGTTGTGTCGGCTTCTGTAATTATTGCTGGGTATGAACATAGCCAGAGCCATCCAGGCATTAGAAAGATTTCTATGAGAAAATTATTGTTAAAAATTAGTATTTCAATGGGTGTGTGATGCTTCTATCCACGAAGAAATAGTTAGTCCCCCTTAGATTACAATGGGAAGGAGATCGTGAAGGTGTGAATCTTGGTCTTGCCATTTGTTAGCTGTGTGACTTTGGAGATGTTTTTCAACCTCTCTGAGATTCAGTTTCGTTGCCTACAAAATTGAAATAATGATGCCCCCTGCATAGAGTTGCTAGAAAGAATATGTGAGATTACGTATGTCAAGAGTCCACTCCAGGTCTAGCACAGGGATTGGTAAATTATGTCCAGTAGGTCAAATTCAAACCTGGTTTTGTAAATAAAGTTTTGTCGGATCACAGCCACGCCCATTCCTTTCTGTTTGTGGATGCTTTCACACCACCACGGTACAGTTGAGTGCTTGCAGCAGAGACTAGATGACCCACAAAGCCTAGAATACTTATTCTCTGGCTCTTTACAAGGAACAGTGTGCTAACCCCTGGTCTAGTATGTAATGGGTGCCCAATAATGGTAGCCAGAAGGTTCACTGATCTAAACACCTAATTTAACAGATAGTCATGTCAGATACATGTTACCTGATGAGGATTTATACTTTAGGCCGTAAGATTCAGGGCACATAGCAGTTTCTACAGCTAGAAAAAGCCTCTTAAGTGTTCTGATTCACTCCAGGCCCCAGGCAAGGGTTATCTTCACGTGGAACTAAAGCCTGAGGATTAGAGAAGGAAGATATGACTTCCTAATGTTCCCCTTAATCCCATTTGCACTGAGTTGCGGTCAAGAATAAGGATTTGGGGGCCACTTGGATAGCTCAGTAGGTTGAGCGTCCAACTTCGGCTCAGATCACGATCTCACAGTTTGTGAGTTCGAGGCCCGCATCGGGCTCTCTGCTGTCAGTGCAGAGCCCACTTCAGATCCTCTGTCCCCCTCTCTCTGCCCCCCCAACCCAAAATAATAAACATAAAGAAGAAGAAGAAGGATTTGGTATACTCCCTGGCTCCTAGGACTTTCGCTACTCCTTACTTCTGAGTCTTCCGCAATCATGCCTGTCTTCCCGGTTAACCACATATGGGTGGTTTCCTCTAGAGTAACCAACCCTCTGGGGTGGGAGAGGAGGGCACGCAAGGGTTGATGTCATTCACGTCATTTCTGTCCCCAGGTTTCCTGCTCCATCTTAGCATTTGACTTGTCTTACGTCAGCACATTTTAGGCTTCAGGGACCCCTGTCTTCTTTCCAAGGGTGGATTGTCTTCTGTGACCCTTACTCTGAAGTCTTCTGTGGCAGATGGCAACTACATGGGGCTTGGTTTATGCTAGATTTAAGAGTCTTTAGGCCAGACCCTCTGACTTCTTGGAGGAAGCCCAGACTCCCTACAATGGCTTCAAAATAGTCTTAGCTTTTTCAGAGTTCTTAGAGATTAGGATCAGCTCCATGCTTCTCTGGGTATTTAATCCTGGACAGTTCTGGTCACCCTAGAACAGACTCTGTTTCAGGGGCTAAGGGTCCCTGTGCTGCTCTGGCCCATAGTTGGTGCTCTTGTCACCAGCATGGCTCCCTGATCAGGAGCACATAGGTTTGATAGGAAAGGCTCGATGTCACCTTTAGATGTATGTTTATATTGATGTCCTGCTGAGGAAACCCTTAGCCTCATGGATTAGCAAATTCACTTGTAGTTTGTCAAGGTAGACAATTAATTCTTCATTAGCTGCCCTCAAAACAGTACTTGAGAGTCATGGTACTCTTTAACTGGCACCATTAATGGGGACCTTGCTAAAATTAATACAGATCGACATTTGGTTAAACTAAAGATTGAAAGACAGAAATAAAACACCCTATGAAAACCAGAGACAACTTTTTTGCTTACTTATGTGTAATAATTCATGACCATTAATTTGTAAAAACTGACAATAGTTCATTGTTTTATCTTTCAATTGGCCTAAGAAGCGTAGACAGTGAAATCCAGTAAGAATGACTGCATGCAGTTAAGTCATGCGAAAACTCGGTTTCTCTCTGGTAGTTGTTTTCAGGTAATGTATCACTAGAATAAGTGTCCTTAAACCTAAAGCATGCTCTCAGATTCATCCTCAGAGTCGTCCTGCCATCTCCAGCTTCAGAATCAATCCAACCATGAGGACATCCTCAAGACTAGTAGAAGTTATCAGCACCTTAAATGAATCATAGGGCCTTCAGCTGGGTGTTGATCGTTTATTGTCAGCATCAGTGAAACTCAAGGCATGTCTTGGCGATAATATTTATGAGATAACGAGCAATTTGTAAACGTAAGTTATTCAGTAAACCCAGAAGGGTCTAACTCTGAACTAAGGAGTCTGAGAAGATTCACCAAAGTAAAAGACATGGTCTGGGCCCTAAAAGATCATGACCTTCCATTGAGGTAATTAGACATGAAGCCGTAAGTGGGCCTCTGTCATCTTTCTATGGGGTCTTTTCATCAAACCCCAAAAGGCATTTACTTAGGTCCTCACAGGGACTCATGTCTGAAGCAGCTGTTCATTCTCCTTCCTTGTGCATGATCTTCATCATTTGACACTCTACACAAGGTCACTGTAGACGAGGACTTTTCAAGATAGGGGCTTGTAACCACATTGGCACTCTACTGAATATCCAGAAAGATTATAAGCTTTCACGAAAGAGGGCTAGGTAAGGACAGAAAAAAAGATACATTTAGGAAACAAGAAAAGGACATCAAACATCTGGTTTAGCATAGAGAAGGGGCTACTGAGAGGTTAATTTTGTGGAACAGGCATTAAAGAAAGCTTGGACCATCCTTAAGCTTTCTGAAATGGAAAAGCAAAGTGCTGAACTCCTCAACACCCTGCAGTGAAACCATTTTTCATTTCAGATCAAATGCCAGGGCCCTTTTATTTTACTGTCAAATTATAAATGGAAAGTCATCATTTTATCTGAATAATATCAAAAGAAGCAACACTTTTATTTTTAAACTTTTATCACCATCCTAAATGTGTAAACTGTGGGATATTCTGCCATCCACAACAGAAGCATTGTCTGAATTAAGAAACTTACATTCTTAAGAAAGAAAAGAAAGAAAGAAAGAAAGAAAGAAAGAAAGAAAGAAAGAAAGGAAGAGAAAGAAACATTCTGAGGAGTCGGTGCATGCATGGCACACTAGGTCGGCCTTTCCTCTCCCCCTTTCCCTAACCCCCAACCCTTTCCCCTCTGCCTCCTGACCCTAAAACTCAAGCGTGTCTCTGAAAAAGCACTTCAAAACACTATGCAGTGACGTCTTTCCGATTAAATTATACATGGTATAGTCCGGAGGATCAGAACTATTTTTCTAACTTTTCCTTCAAATGTCCGTTGATTCACACTAAAGTTTCACCACTCCAGAGCTCTTCGGAAATAAATCTTTGTTGATAACTGCATTTTTTTAAGTTGAATTTTTAGTCATTTAAATTTTTTTTTCAACGTTTATTTATTTTTTTTGGGACA